AAGAAGAAGAAGAAGAAGAAGAAGAAGCAGAAGCAGAAAAAGAGTGAGTTTCATTGAAAACGGTGAAAAGTCTTAGTGGTTTTTTTAGCTTCTTTTTTTTTTGCACATTTTGACGATTCCTTTATCTGTTCGCTTCAGTTATTACGAAAATATCAAAAGAAAAGAAAAAAAAAACTTTCATAATTTTATTTAGTGAAACAATTTCAATTTTAAAAATAAGAATTCTTTTTTTTAGTTTTTTTTTTGGTTTTTTGATTTGGTTTAGTTCAGTTTGGCATACCAAGTGTAAACTAGAAATGCTTTCGAAAAGTGTACACATCAAACTGTTGCATCATTACCTTTTCAGCTTTTTTAGTCCTATAGACCAGTAAGTAAATGTCTGGTTGAGAGGTTATTTATATTTTTCCTTTTTTTTTTCTCCTTGGAAGCTTTAATTGAGTTATTCAACTGGTATTATGCAGACGACGATCAAAATATTGACTTCTAAATCAACGGTAACGTTTACTAAATCAGCTTCATCTTTATCATAGTCATCATCATCACCACCATCTTCTTCTTCTTCTTCTTCTTCTTCTCCCCCTTTTTTCTTCTTCTTCCTCAACATCTTCTTCTGTTTATTCTTCTCTTCTTCTGGGAAAAAATTGTTTTATATGGAACCAAAAACTGGAACAACTATAACAGTGAAAATTTTACTTAATTAGAAAGCAACAAAAATGATTGAAAATGCGACTGTTTTATTGGTAACAGAAATTGAAATCTGATAACATTTGGTTGTTTGCAACTGAACGGTTTGTTAAGTAACAATAAACTTTGCTCAGTTTCATATGGCGTTTTACCAGCGAATACTCAGAAAGACAACTTTTTGTCTTCATTTGTTTTTTTTTTTTTTTTCATCAAAGTTATACGGAATGGAGCTGTCGTATGATCTTCATCAATGTATTTTTCTGGTCTTAGTTTACTTTGTAAGCCGGATGAAAAATAATCTAAAATTTGAACAAACTTTTCCTCTTTTTTTTTCTTCCTTTTGTTTGAAGCAGTATTTTGTCAAAATTACTTTTATTGTGGAAGGAAGCTCTCTGAATTTTTCTCCTTTGCGTTTACCTCTTCTTAGCCAACAATAACTCCAATAAGTTCAAATGTACACTGTCAGTAAGGTTGGCCTCAGTAAAGAGTTACTCAGTTTTTTGTTATAAAAAAGGTGTAACCTCTCAGTTTACTTGTTTTCCATTCTTGATACTTTTTCTTACTTGTATTGCCTTGCTGTCCTTTAGAGTCGGCTATGGTGAACATGTTGAGAGAGAATAAAGAAAGAAAGACGAAGCATGAAAATGTAACCGTAATGATGGTCGATGGTGCTAAAGACTATGAGAGATTCTGAGCTGCAGTTGACTAAAAATTGCTTCCTCGCCAAATATCTGGCAAAAAACCATTGCTTTTGTGAATGTTCACTCAACGTTTTGAAATGTTGCTGTCAGTGAAAAGAAAACAATGAATATTTTAAATCTTATTAACTTTCTTTCTTCTATTTTGGCGTACTTTCAGTTTATGCAAATCGAACTATTTTAAATTTTATTTTAATTTATTTTTCCATTTTTTGGTTCACAATTTGTTGCCCTCTTTATTGTGTGACTGAGGGTTGTGACACCTGTGACAACAATCAAGCGGCATATTAAAAATGCAGTTGGTAAAACCATATAATTTATTTTTTGGTATGGGACTCTAAAAAGCAGCATAATAAAGTTTGTGGAAAGTTCATAGTTAAGCTATTACAGCAGCTTTATGATACCTCTTCTCCTTTCCTGTCTTCTCTTCGAAAAAAAAAACAAACAAATTTTTTAAGGTGGAAGAATTCACTTACCCTTTTTCCGTCACTTTCTTATACACTTTTTAACGCTATAATTTACCTGCACATAGTTATCGCTAAAAAATCGTCGATAAAATGTTTTCACAAAAAAACTAAAAACTTTCTTCTGTAAGCGAACCGGACTTTTACATTTGTATTAAATCGTTCAAAAAAAAAAAAAAAAAGTTGTCGCTGGTGCCAAAGAATCGTAATTTATTCTAATTGTCTTTACTTTTCGGCAGATACTGTTGAATAATATCAAAATTATACGTAATTTACAAGCATTCTCATGATTCATTTTTTTTTT